TTTGTCTCAGGCAAATGTCAATCAAAATCAATTTTTTGCTCGAACTACTAATCGATTTTAATTCCAATTCATTGTAATAATCAAGGAAGTTTTGATCTTTTCGATTATTTTTGATTAAAAATCGATTAAAAACGTATGACTGTAACAGATTTTTAAGCATTTTTCAATGGTTTTTCTCGGCAAAGTTTTTTAGATAAGAATGCCGACTAGACAAAGTCAGACTATGTCTTTTTAAAGTAAAAAACAAAAGACTGACAATAGTTCTGAGTATACATAAGCAAAAATTAGATGTATTTCATTTGAAATACATCCGTTCTGATTTTATCTTAAAAAACTAAAGTTAAAAGACTTTTTGAACACGAATAATTTAATTTTTCTTCATCTATTTTTTGACTATTTTCAAACAGTATTTCCGTATTACACTTTCAGTTCATGTTTTCGTTTAAAAGAATAAAGCATCATGTAGCTATTAAATTTCAGCAATGCCTAAAGTCAACAAGAAAGACTTAACGATTAACAGTTAAAAAGATCTTCGTCTAATTTGCTCGGGGGCGCAGAATCTTCCGTAAAAATGAAAAATTTCCGCGAACGCAGAAAAATCAATCAAAAGTTTCTCTCAGTATTGAAATAAAATAAAGGTTTTTTTTATATATTTTTGTTAAATAAATGAAAAGAGAGAAGAGACTACGATATGTTTAAAATATACTATCCTAATGAACATATCAGATCATTTACGTATCAAATAATATTTTCATCTAAATAATTTCTTTATTATTTTCCCACAGAAAAAATTTCAAAGTCAATAATTTTTCAAAATTTTCCCCGAACGCGCGTTCGCGCAGAGGAGCATATTTTGCTCTCCTAAATTTACTACCTTGAGTAATTCGTTTGAAAAACTGAGCCTACTCTAGAATGAAACCATTCCGCCGCCTATAATATCATGAAATATATATTTTTAGTGTGATTTTGTTACTCAAGTATGTATGTAAGCGATGTGCCACCAAAGCAATACATTAGAATTACTTCCCCTAGAAAATTTAACTTGCGCCGCTTATAACTATATTTTGATTGGTTCAAAAAAAACATTTTCGTTCCTCCGTATTTTACCCAGGTCTGATTTTAATGCAATCAGAAAAGACTAACTGTCTAGATAAGAGAAAGAAAACATTTGATTTCATTTTGTTTCTTAGATGGTTGTTCCAATAGATGATTCCACGACGAAAAAACAATGGATCCACCTTCGTCGTATCCTTGAACGAGCTGGACCTTTTAAAGATCCAAATTTTGAACCATCTACTGAGGTTTTATTATCGATATTATTGCATAATATTCTGAAATTTTATTAATTTCAGCTTTTATCAGCAATTGAATCGGTGAAAATTTTAATTATTGGTGCTGGTGGTCTTGGTTGTGAATTATTAAAAGATTTGGCTCTTATGGGTTTTTGTCAAATCGATATCATCGATATGGATACAATTGATTTAGCAAATTTAAATCGTCAATTTTTATTTACGTAAATAAATACAACGAATATTTATGTAAAAATTCTTTTTTTTACTTTTCAAGTAAAGCTGATATTGGTAAATCAAAAGCTGAAGTTGCTGCAAAATTTATTATGAATCGTATTCCAAATTGTAATGTTACACCGTATGTGAAATAATTTATAATATTCATGGAAAAACGTTTGTTTTTCTTCAGACATATGAATAAAATTCAAGATTTTGATGCATCATTTTATTCAGGTAAAATTAATTTCTATTGATTATTTATATATTTATATGATATTTTTATAAATAGAATTTCGAATTATTGTATGTGGCCTAGATTCTGTTGTAGCCCGTCGATGGATTAACAGTATGCTAGTAAGTTTTAGGGAAAAAAAAGCAGGGTGATTATTTCAAATAAAATTTTTCATATTAGGTTAGTATGCTTCAATATGATGAAGATAATCAATTAATACCAAGTTCAATCATACCTATGATTGATGGAGGAACTGAAGGATTTAAAGGAAATGCACGAGTTATAATGCATGGTTTCACTAGTTGCATTGAATGTACTTTGGATTTATTTCCTCCTCAAGTTAATTTTCCTCAATGTACAATTGCAAATAATCCACGTTTACCCGAACATTGTGTTGAATGGGTTACAAGTATTCTTTGGCCAAAAGAAAAACCATTTGGTCAAGATATTAAAATCGATGGTGATAATGTTGAACATATCCAATGGATAGTTGAACATGCAACAAAACGAGCTAATGATCATAATATAACTGGTATTAATTTTCGATTTACACAAGGTGTTGTTAAACGTATTATACCCGCTGTTGCATCAACAAATGCAGTTATTGCATCTATTTGTGCAACCGAAGTCTTTAAATTAGCATCGTCGTATGTAGACAAATATTGTCAATAGATATATTATATTATATTTTTTTTGTCCCGAATAGATCTGTCATGCTTATGAATAATTATACAATGTTTAATGATATTGAAGGAATATATATGCTTACATATCCACCGGAAAAGAAAGAAGATTGTCCAATATGTTCAAATGTTCCTATACGTATTCAAATGAGTGAAACATCGAAATTTCAAGAATTTATCGATTTACTTATAGAAAAATAGTAAGAACCAAAAAAAACGCTATTTGATATATTTTGATTGTTTTTCTTTAGTCACTTAATTGCTCCATTAATTTATACAGAAATCAATGGAAATTCAAAAACGTTATATATGACAAGTACAGAACAAATGAGTGAAGCAACAAAACCTCATCTTAAAATGACATTACAAGGTAGAAATTTGTTATTGAAAATCTTTTAACTTAATTTTTCTTGTTAAGAACTTGGATTAACCAATGGTGCAGAACTATTAGTCGGTGATCCAGCACGAGCATCATCAATGCGTGTGATTCTTACATTAACTAGTTCAATGGAAACCTCAACTGCAAAATAAATACATAAAATGACAGTTTTTACATATATATTTTTTTATTATGATATTAAAAATCAAGAAACAAAATTTATGTGCTAACCGAAATCTAACAATCATTTTTATTCTATTCTAGATGCATATGGCATGAGCACCACCATCGATACGTTCATTTATCTCAAAAGAGATATTGAACAATCATTTCAACGTGTTCAAGCCATCTCGAATTCTTCTCAATATGATCAACAAGAACTTGATCAACTATTTAATCATATCTCTTGTACTCTTGATGATTTACAAAAAATAAATCAATCTGTAAATATTCCATTAGCTGATCTATCGGAAAATGAGAATGATTCTGATGGAGAAAATACAGAATTTATTTCACCAAAACGTTTCACTGTTAGTTATTCCAAAGATTCAAATATAAATAATGGCACAACATATGAAGAACGTGAAGATTTTATTCGTCGTATGAAAACAGAATTAACTTATTATAAAAGTAAAATTCAACCAATAAAAAAAGAAAATCAAATGGAAATAATTCGTCTTGATCAAGCACCAGAAGAAGAAGAAGACGATGGACATGAAGATCACATTATTCGTAAACAAGATAAACAACTTGAAGATATGCATCATTCGATAGTATCATTAAAAAATTTAACAAAAAATATTAATTTTGAAATTAATGATCATATCAATATTTTGGATACTCTTGAAACAGATATGGTTAATAGTCATAATCATATAGAAAATTTAACAAATCGAACAAAAAATTTCATACGAACGTCAGCTGGTGGTGTGGGTGGACATACATGTTTATTTGCTGTTGCTATTGGTCTTTTTTTCTTGATTATTATTTTGATTCTTTTTTTCTAATATATAATCTATTGTTGTTTTATGTCTTGGAGTATTTAATACGTATTATTTATTTTTCAGATAGAAAAAAAACCCAAAATGGTTCGAAGTGGTTCAGGTGTTATTGCAAATATTTCTGTACAATTAAACAAACCAGAAAAACATGATACAAAATTTTGTCTTTCACGCGTTCTTCTCAAGTAATAAAAAATAAATAGTTTTCTCGTATTTTTACATGTCTTATCTATTTAGTGATATTCATCTATTAAAATCAAGTATGAGTGAAAAACCAACTAAACCTATTGTAGAACAAATTACTGAAAAAATGGAAGAACTTGAAGTTGATAAAGGACAAAGTTTAGATGATGAAGAATTAGATGAAGAAGCATTAGCTATGAAAGCAATGGGTTTACCCACATCATTTACATCATCCATGATTGAACGATCTAAACCTCATCGCCGAACACGTTCACGATCTTTATCAGATGAATCGCCATTGGAAAATAACCAAATGACTAATGAAGATTTATTTAAAAATGCATTAGATCTTTGGCTTGAATATTGGAATCTTAATGGTTATCAACTTGCAACAGATACTTGGACATCAAATTCTGATATTCACAATCGTTCTGATGGACATGATACATCACATTCGTCCGATGATTCATTATCAAATGTTCAATCTGAACATGCAATAGCCGATCTATGGAGACAACATTATTTATCTACCTATGATCTATCACTTCGTGAATATTGTCTTAATCACCAACTTGATTATGATCAATTTGTTGATTATATTTCAAA